CCCCAAAACCCCAAAACCCCAAAACCCCTTTTGGGAGAGAGTTGATTGAAATTTGCACAACTTTGGGTTATATAATAATTTTATAAATGAAACCCAACAAGCAGCTTGCCAAACAAAAAGAACTCGAACTTGAGAATGTCGCCTCCGATCTTATCACCAGATTCCTCTTGTTCCTCCCAGACTCCGAAAAGAGACCTCCACGAGTCTTCCAGACACTTGTTGAAGCCCACTGGTTCTACTCGGACTTCTTGGCTAGAAACAACTGAGCTGACGAACAGATTAACGAAGACACCAAAGACTCCATTTTGCCGCAGAAATAAAGAAAAAGATTTTTTCCGTTTCATGTTCGAACGGACTCCGTTCTTGCGGAGCCAGCTCGGCCAGTTCAACGTACTGTATCACAACTTCAAGAACTACCAATCGAAGATCCCCAGATACGGCGCTATCATTCTGAGTCCGGACTTCAGCAAAGCGTTACTGGTTGTGTCGTTCAACGGAGGCTACTACGACTTTCCGAAAGGCAAAGTCGACGAGAACGAGCAAGACGACCACTGAGCAGCACGAGAAGTCTACGAAGAAATTGGCTTCGATATTTCTGAACTCATCGATAGAGACGACTATATCATCAAGAAGAACAACTCAGTGCTGCTCCACACTGAACACTCAGCCAGAACTGTGGATGACCCAGATGAAAACATCGAGAAGTACTCCAAACTGTTCATTGTGTCGGGTGTTGAAGAAACACAGGAGTTCCAGATTCTGACCAGGAAAGAAATCAAACGCATCGAGTGGATCAGCATTGACTTTCTCAGGCGCAACCTCATCGATGAAAACTACAACGAGCGATACTCGAATGTCAGGCCGTTTATATTTTTATTGAGCAAGTACATTTTGTATAAGAAAGGCCGCATCGACAGCGACCAGCTCGAGAACTCTAAAGACCTCGACTACTTTGACGACGACATGAAAGTGGCCTACAATGGCAAAGTGAAGTACCATCAGAAAGCCAAGAATTGTCACTTTGTCGACCTTGACTTTGAAGAAGCTTACAAGTACTATTACAGAGCCATCGAAAGCTACGACAACGCCATCAAGTCACTGGAGCTGTTGTTCAGTCTGGTGCTCAGCTACAAAGGTGGAATACAAGAGTGTGTGCAGCTGCTCAGTGAGTTCCAGCCTCTGTTCTACAACATCAACGACTTCAGGAAGCACCAGCAAGCTCTCAGGAAAATACAGAACTGAACTGATGGCGATGACGCCGACCGGTTTGTGCTTGAGTGTGTGTACGAAGACTACAATGTAGAGTACCCGATGACCAAGGAGATGAACTTCAGAGCCCAGCTTGACTACAGCTACAACGTCCGACAGGTCAACCAGGTCTTCATTGAGAAGAGCGAAGAACGCACCAACAAGTTTATCTCCAACCAGACCATGAAGCGAGAAAGCCACAAGAGCAATGCCAAGCCTCTGAACGGTAAGTCTTTGTGAAGAATGTGTAGTGAAAGACTTCCACTGCTACAGACTCATCCACTTCTGGACTGAAGCAGCCGCTGCCAGCTACTACGGCCGCAAGAAGGCCAGTGAACACTTCGTGTATTTGTGTAGCAGCAACGGTCTCAGAGTGGACAACATGGATGCAAACCAGTTCAGCCAGAGCCAACTCGAGTTAGTGCAGAAGTCTCGTGAAGACAAAATGAAGAAGCTCACCAGGAAGAAGAAGAGAAAGGTAAGTGTGTCTGCGAACATAGAAGCCTCACGAAGAACACAAGCACGAAGTCATTGTCGAAGCTGAAGTCGAAGGTAATTGTTGTGTGATCTGTAGAGGAATGGGTGCCCAACATCCAGCTGACAGAGCAGGACTGCAAAGACATCGAGGATGTGGTGAAGGACACAATGATTGGGTTGAAAGACAGATTATTTGCACAACTGAAAACTTTGAGAGTGTAATATCATATTCAACCTTATCTCGATATCTAGGGGTTTTGGGGTTTTGGGGTTTTGGGGTTTTGGGG